CCCTCCCCCCCCCCCCCCCCCCCCCCCCGCCACGGGAACGACCCTCGTCCCGGGGAGCGGGGCGGCGCGCGCTCCCGCCCGCACGCAGCCGGGCCCCGTGGGCGCGCACGGCCCCGCGCCGGCGAACAAAGCACACGGCCACGCCGCAGCCCCGGCACCGCCCCCGGCCAGGGACTCCCCCGGCCGAGCTTGTGCGCCCACCCGCGGCCCCGGCTGCTCGCCGCCCCTCGAGGTTTGTCCGGCCGCGGCTCCAAAGGCGCTCAGACCAAAGCTGGCCACGGGGCGCTGGGAAGCACCGCCGCCCCGTCCCCGTTTGTTTTCAGCTCCCAACAATAGAACAGACGTGGCAAAGACACCAGCGCTAGATTTCCACGCACAGCAGATCCAAGAGCTGATGTCTACACACTTTACAGATCTGCGAGTCTCATTTAAAAAAAGACAATCGGTGCTGCCCTTGCCAGTAACGGACCAATTCTCAATAGCCTTAGGATTTATGCCATCGTCCTCTTGCCACTGCCACCAGAAGCCCCTAGACCAAAGTGACCTAACTGGCTCAAATCAGTATTTATCCACCAACCAGACCCTCGGCAATACTTAACCTAAGGTTGAGACCCGGGGAACCTAATAACTGAATTTACACTTCATTCAAGGCAAACAGCTGGAAATGTGCACAAGTTTCTAGGACTGCAAAACACAGCTTCCCTCCCAGCCAAGTTTCTAGGCAGACTAGCATTTTATCATAGATAGCAACTATGAAAATGAAAAATGAACACTGCTTTTTCTTACAAAAAGCATACTTTTAAGAAAACTGATACCTGCAACTGCATATAAGCATTGGTGAACAGTCCTAGGCACTCAAGAGACACGCAACATTCAAAATTTTGCAATGTTTGGCCTTACACCAGCTGCTCCCACTTCCACAGCAGAGCACTACAACAGATGAAGCCCATATGTACTCAACCATAAACATTTCCAAAGCAGTTTTGTTTGTTGTTTTATTTTAAACAGAGCAAAACCGAGCTAAATTATCTCCTGTATGTCAGTTTGAATGTGTCAACACCAATAGGACAAATAAGAATATTAAAATTGTGATGTTTTGAAAATTTTCAAATATACCATGTATTATGATGCACTAATGCAGCTGTGACTTTCAGAGTTTTAGTCGTAATAACAAGCCATTACCAAAGCCAGTGCAATAAATGTATCAGTTTCACATTTAGCTGAAACCCAAGTGTCTCTTTGAGCATCCCAGAGGCATCTGCTGGCAACCTGAAGGGATAAAAGAGAAAAAGTTACAAGTGAATCTATACACTGGCAGTTTTATTATTTTTAAAGAACACCCAACATTATCTAAATGCTAATTAATCATATTAGGAGAGTTACAACTATCAACAACAACCTAAAAGTTGAATAAAATTAACAATTCCTATTCAATGTTAAATACATGTTCTTGCTTCACAGTAAAGCTCCCACACAGATAGATCAAAAAATCTCAGCACCAAATCCCCAATTCTCTCTTCACTTGTTACAATTTAACGTAAAGTAAGAGCACCCCTTCAAAAGCAACTGAATGTCAGTGTGAATAGACATCAGTTTTGGGAACATATACAACCAAGAAGTCACATCCCCCACTCCTCCACCTCCAGCTTACTCCAATCTACTTGTAAATTTATTGGACTCTCAGCCTTTTTGATACAATTGTTTTCAAAGCTAAACTGTGTGAATTGGTGGCTGGAATAAACATATTCCTTGGGAGAAAAATGTTAACTTGGACCACTTCACCAATCTGTCTGCACCTACAGCTCCTCAGTCAAAGCACCCCTTAAGAGACAGCGCACTCTGAGATGGCACCAGAAAAGCACATAGATGCAGACACCTCACAAACTGGATTTGGTACTGAAGCTGAACCCTTCAAACATTGTTTCATGTAACTCACTAAACACAGGCTGGTTTCAATCAGACTTTAACAACTGATGATGAACACTCCAAAGCAGAAGTATTCTTTGACACTCTACTAGACAGAGAAAAGCATTCTAAATGCCAATGGGAGCTCCAAGCTAGTTGGAATACTAAACTTATACGGCAATACAGCAAAATCTAGAATCCTTTTATTTTAGGTGTTCCAAGTTCAGATGACTGGTGTTAATTTGAAGTCCCAGGAGCATGTCTGGTGGCAGCTGCAGTTACTATCCTTTTCCTTGCCACCCTTCTGTTCCATGACACCCCACACTATAACTGCATATCATTTTGCATGGAACGTGAGAACCCAAATGGAGATCCAAGTACACCGGACAAAGAAAAACAAAATTCACTGAACTCATGCAATTGTACTGGCACAGCAGGCAGTGGAAACAAGTGGGAGACAGGAAAGTGCAGTTGGAGATGTTCACCACTTACTGAACACATGAAGACAACAACCTTCAGAGAGTTAGGCAGAATCATAGCAGCACCTTGAATTGTCACCTCGGGATACTATTACCCATAAAGAACATAAAAGCTTCAGGAGCACCTCAAACAAGTCAAGCTGCTGAAAGTAAAAGAACACCTAGGAAATAACACACAGTTCTAAAAGTTGTTTTTAATTTTCAAAAGGTGTAACATATAGTATGTTTGCTTACAATCATTGCCTGATTTGCCTTTTCCACAATTAGCACTGATACCACATACTTATAACGGTCATAGTCCAATTCCTTCACAGCATTTAATATTTCTTCTGAGATTGAAGCACACAAGAAGGGACTAGAAGCTCCATCATATGTGGCTTCTTGTAGTTTATTCTATCAAAAACAATTTTGAAATATCTTAGTTTTCATACTAGTAGTCTTTTGCATAAAACACCCTTAACAGCCATTTTCATTACAAGAACATGAGAAGAACTGGTGAGTTGAATAGTCAGTACAGATGATGGTCTCAAACAGCAAAGGATGCACTTCCTTTACTCTGAAATGTTTTATCTGTCTTTTCAAAAGGTGACACACAACCAATCTTCATTGGATTGGCCCAGCCAATCTCCATTTAACAATCAGGAGCGTACTCTTCATTGTTTGGGCTCAGTTCACTGGAAAACAGTGCTACAAATATCTGTTCCAAATACCCAAGATATGTCTTCCAGACAACAAAATTAAAAAGATCTGGTTATAACTGTTCAAAATACCACTAACAGCTTTGGATTATCTCAACAAATTGTTTTCTTTCATATTTGCTTGATTTGTGTATGCACCAGTCTGACTGTCAAGGATACCAAGTAATTTTATGCAAGTCCTGTGATATTAGCAGAATTAATAGAAATCCACAAATTTGATGTCATGATCTTTTGCTATCTGGACATTTTGTGGATTATGGTACTTTGAACTGTGCTGTAGCTCAATTTGATTTAAAAAAATACAAGGGTTTATGAAGCTTCAGCTCCACTTAAAGAGCACATGCTCAGCAGTGAACTTGCAGAGGCCTTTCTGCACTTTGCAAAACAGAGTACATTCACATTACATTCAGGTGCCAAAACTCAAAAGACTGCAGAGATTTATGTGTGTTTAAGTTTATGCAATATTCACTATTCCGTAAATACTTCTGCAAGACAAGCTGCTTTTGCAATGAGACAAGTAACTTAAATAATACTATACCGTTAGTATCGCTTGAGCTTTGTCTCTTAATAAACCATCCTGAACTTTAGTACGTGGCTCCAGTCTGTATGTGTTACGGTTTTTCGGCTTTGCCTTTCCTTCTGTTGGAGCCGTGCCTGAAGCATCCTGAGGTGTTTTTTTTCCTTTTGACTGTATAAAATAGTAAGAAAAAATCCATATCACATGTCAATATTTTAGAATTTAAAGACTCTAAATAATACCTTATGGTGTACAGCTAAGAGGAAAAAACCCCCAACAATTAGTCCAGGAATATGTTAACAAAAACCACAGAAAGCTAGAAGCTGGTTATCATCTTCTGGCTGTTTTAACACTACTGTTTTGCCTGAAATAGGAGAAATGGTTGACTTACACTCAATTTTAAATTCTTTTCCAGCAAAATCCAACTGAACTTTTCATTTAAGCTTGTCAATCAGATACACCATATTACCACCCTAAATCCATTCCCTTTTCGAAGGAAAAATACACAGATATTAATGTACCCATTCAAGACTGTTAGCCACAAGTTCAAGCTTCTCATTCAAATAGCCTACACAATACCCAAAATATAGACTTGGTTCATTTACTACTTCATCTCACTCATCCTTGCTCTTTGTTACTAAAAATAGTAGTTTATGTAATGATGATTTAATTAATTTGCTCATTAAAAAAAAAAAGGAAAAAGTAAGCTCCAGTGTGCAAAGCTTTGTAATTTTGCTTTGAATTTAAAACCAGATCTCTGAAGATCACGTTTTCTTCCCATCCAGCTGTGTACTCTATCTCTTCAACACACATCACAAAACTTGTCTCTCTATGAATGCAAGAAGTCTAATGTTGCAAAAAAAATGTCACCTGCTGTCCACCATGATGGCTTAACAGAACTGTAAAATAGTAACAAAGACAGAAACAGAAAAATACAAGGTACCAATGAGATCATAACAAATGCCACAGGCAATGGTCTTCCACACCAGCTACTTCCTAACAAACCACTTCCAAGTTTCACCGATTTTTTAGTCTAGGCTCCACTTCCTGACTACTGCTAGAACCTAACATTGAGAGAAAATCATTGCTTCCTTTCCAGGAGAGCAGAAAAGAACTCAGAGGTGAAATAGCATCACAATGCAAGGCTTATGCTAAAAAGTACAGAAAAAAAGTGGATAATATGGATAATATAAAAGTCTAATGAGAATTATTTTAGAAAATGCACTACTCAAGGGCTCACAACTCTTTCCATCTGAGGAGTTTTAAGAACCAGGGAAGAAATGCAGTTTCTTTATGAAATCACTGGCACATTAGTTCTGTCAACAACTGTGGACATTACCTAAAAGTGTTCTCTAATTCCTTAACAGCAGTGATGTTGGCAGCCTTAGTGCAAATTGCCTGATGGTGTTTGTTGAACTCTGAATAGCACTTACTCTAAATCACAAGGACCAAACACATTTGCACTTAGCCTGTGGATACTCATTATCTACTAACTGCAAACTCAGATCTCAAAAGACTAAAGCCCTGACATGCTCATCACAAGTCGCCTAACAGAAGAAAAACCACCTCAAGTCTTGCAGCTGAGGTCTTCAAATGAACATCTCCATCCATGTGAGTAATAATGAACTTGTGAAAAGGGTGCAGTCCAAACAGCGATAATTTGCTGACATGGTTCAGCTTGAGCCACACTACCTTCAACCTCTATCACTAATGATGGAATAAAATTCATGGCTATAGCATACAACTTCTAACAATGGTGATACTTAAAAATTTACCTGCTATTTTTAGTGACAGGAGTTTTCATAATCACTTGCAAAAAGTCATTGCATTAACTAGTGAGGCAACTAAAAACCTTGATTTCTCTATAGATGTGGCTAGTAAATAAAACTTCTGCTGCTAAATAAACCTTTATCTGCTAAAACCCCAAGTTGTAGCATAATGTTGCAATTACGATTCTGTAAAATATTTGCACTCTCTGTGAATAAAACTCTCAGAAGTTCAAGAACTGACTAGATTTGAGCACTTGACCAAAAATGCCTGTTCTTAGGCTACTCAACTTGAGTACACTAGCTTATCTTTGGGCATATGGAAGTATGGTAAGATAAAAAAAAAAAAAAGCTTTTGCTATTTAAATGAAATTCTGTTTGTTAGTAAGTCCATTTTAACAACCAATAGGTTTCAGTTGTTAAAACAAACAGGAGAAAGTTCTTGTTTATTGCTTCAGAAGAGGGTATGGCTTCTAGTTTAGAGCAGCACCCCGAGTTGGAGAGTGCCCCATCAAAGGCAGGATGCCCCTTCTCTTTACCATCACAGCTGCTCGGCCTCCCAGCGCCTGAGCCAGCCCACCAGCCGCAGGGCACGAGTAACATCACACCTGACCAAGCAGAAAGAGCGCGAGCTATCCCAAACCGGCCGCTAAGCAAGAAGGAACAGCATTCCTAATACCAATTTTCACAAGATCACACGCGCCTTTTAACCCATCTTCTCCACGCCCCATCCTTCCCTCCCAGCTGAAGCGCCGCAGGCCCGGACCGCCACCCCCGCCTCAGTCGGGTACCACACATCCCCGCGCCGGAGCCGCTGCCCCCGCTCCCGGCGGTGCCCCAGCCCCGTCCAGCTCAGCCCCCTGGAGCTGCCCCTGGCCCTGGCGGCCGCTCACCGTGTCTTTATCCTGGCGCTTTTTCCCTCCCTCCATGGCTGTGGCGGCCGTCCTGGTGGGCGGCGTGCGGCGGCCGGGGCCCCGCGCGCGAGCCGGCCCCCGCGGGCAGCGGTAACGGAGGCGGCGGAGGCCATGGCGGGAGCGGGGCCGGGCCGGGCCGCGGGGAAGGGCCGGCGCTGCGGCCTGCGGGCGGCGCGGCGGGAACGGGGGAGGGGGGTCAGCCCTGCCCTGCTTCTGCCAGTGCCAGCCTGCTCTCCCTGCTAAGGTCACCGCCCTGCCCCTGCCTGGCCCATTTCACATAAGTGATAGTAGTAAAGGATGGCAGCGGTCATGCAGGTTTTGGCCTTCTGTCTCTGACACTGAAACGGCGAACGGGAAGAGGAAGAGACACAAATTAAGATGGACTGAATGATATGTCTCAGGAGCACTGCAGATTTTTAATTTTTTTTTCTTCAAATAGCAGGTAGGTACTCCTGATGGCAGTTAATAGCAGTTTCCGATAGGAACTGTTACCTTTGCTTAGTGCTGATAGCTATATAAATATTTCCTCTCTCCTTGAAGCCATGAATTCAGAAAGTACATATCTGAGGGTCAATTCTGCCACCTAATCAGAGAGGAAAAATGTTTTTAATTCAAATTTAATGGCATATTTATCATTATTGTTAGTTGTGGTACTTCATTATCAAACAATTTCTTGTCTCTCTAATGAATGAAGAAGTGTGACTCTTTTAACTAAATCAGAAGCATTTTCATCCTTGTTAACATAGGCAGTTTTATCTGTGCAATTTTTAAAATTTAAATATGTGCTTCTGAATCAGTTCATTTTTTCTGTTTAGACTAATGTGCAAATAGCGTGAATGCTTAAATTACACTAATATTGATACAGAATTCACACGTTCTTCCCCTGCCTCCCTCCAAGGATCTTGCTGGTTTTAAGGACTGATACTCTTGGTTTACTTGAAGTAGCATCAGTTTCTCTGCAAGCTCAGATTAGACAGAACATTTATGTACAAACTGGAATATTTTGCTTCAGTCTATATTGTCATGGTTTCAGTAGATATAACCATTCTGAAATAAACCATCCTGACCCTGTGAAAACAGAGCAATGCTTTCCCTCAGCTTTATTAAGGTGATTCTGGTAGAGAGTTCCTTTCATCACATATGTGAATGAAACTTGCATTGCAAACCCAAACAGCTTGTTTACAGACACTGTATTACTGTCTGTGTAGCTGTGCTGATGGGTATGTTTTTAAATTTGTTTTTGTTTTTGTTTTTTTTTTGTTGTTGTTCTCATGTTCTTTCTTTTTACAAGGATTCTTTTTGTGTATGTGTTTGTTCTAGATGGCATTGCCAGATTCAGTCACTACTTGCCTTTCTCAACCTGTGCATTATGCAATTTGTAAACTTGGATTTGAGAAGAAAGACACCTATGATATTAATAATATTTTATCTGGAAATGGGGAAGTATGTTGGCAAGCTGTTACAGAGCATGTGTGTTACCTTGAGTCAGGTTGGTGTTTACCTGCTGTAGTAATGATGATGCATGTAAGACTGATGCAGAATTTCTGTATAGGCCATAGCAATCCTAGCTGAGTTGTGACAGTTTGTTACAGTACACTATTAGCTCTGCTTTAAATTAGAGTATGTAGAGTTCATATCTACAAAGAGCTTTAAATTTTTCATCTGTGTTTGGTATTTGGCTTTTGCTGACTCCTAAGTTTTGTGTAATCTCTGCTACCTAAGTAGCTCCTACTTTGCCTTCATCTTGGTTCCCAGCTTAATGTGCCTGTAACATAAGGGGTTCAGTTCTGCTTTTCTCCAACCCCATAACTGTCTTGTTCTCTGTTCTATATATTCCTTTTGTACTAAATTTAAAAGCCTGGGGCCATCAATATTGCTACTGTTTCTTCTGTTTGTGTTTCTCAACTTTAGGTTGTACAGAAGTATGGTCTTGTTTCCCTTCTATGTGGAATATTTTGTAGTTGGTTTTTAACCAAAACAAAGTATTTATGTCCTGATGAATTAATTGAATTTTAATTTGCCAAATTTCATCATGCAAACTCTGTTATTAATTTCCAGAGGTGGTAGAAATATCTTTCAGTAAACCGTAAGAATTTATTTTCCTAGAAAAAATGTCCCACAAAAAAGAGGCAGTGGTACCACTCTGTAAGATACCACATCCATCTGCCTTCTTTAAAGAACATAAGTGGTTTGACTCATAATTTGACTCTTGCTAAGCCTGCACTAACTTCCAGCTTGATATATGGAATTTCTGTAGAAATTCTAGTGGGTTCTTCACATTTCAACAAAAGCAGAATATGATGATCCTATTTACTTTCATATTTTCTTGTGTTAAGTTTTTATTGGGGTAGAATTTTTGGGTTTTTGTTCTATTCAGAGAAGGTGCTTGATCTTACCTAGTTTTGCATTGCAGTTTTACTTTTCAATACCTTTTCTGTGTGGTGTTTTGGACAGTAAATTGTATTGTATTCATTGTGCTAAAATAGTCAGGATAAAACTGTCTATGCGAAATATGTACACAAACTGCAGCAGGTTTTATCCCTAGTGAGGTTTAAAATATTAGACCTTCAGGAAGGTTGGTACCCTAATCACCTTCTGTTTTTCAATTTAAGATCAAAGCGTGGATTATATCAAAAGCATACGATCATTTGGACCTGTCTGTGAATCTGTTAATTCGTACTTCAAATCTCTGACCAAGGAGCAGTTTGTAATTCAGTATGTGTCATGTTTTCACTGGACAAACTGCACAGAGGTATGGAAATTTCTGTTAAGTTAGCATTTTGGCACCTGAACTCTTTGTGGAAGTTTAAGTGAGAACACATCCATGAGCCAAAATGCTTAGAATTTGTAACTAGTTGTCCTTATATGTTACCTCATGATAGATGGTTGCTTGTAATTTTTGTGACTTTGTAATTTGATTTTGTGTTAGACAACATGAGGAGCTTTGGGCCTGTTCTAACATTAGTTTGTAGGATTTTGTTTTTCTAATATTCTGTGCTTAATGTCAAGTTTTACCTTGTAAAGTTATTATGGAAAATTTTAAATATGTAAGGCACTAAATATCAAGAGGTACTCTAGGGAAATTTCTCTCCAGGTAACTACACTTTCATTTCTTTGGCATTGTTTTCTTTCTACATTTGCATAGCAACTATCACAGAGGAATATTTACGTTTCTCTTGAATATTGAACAACATTCTTCCTCTCCCCCATCGTGCAGGTTTTTCTGGACATGTTTGATGTTTTGCAATCTACACAAGCTACAGAAGTTGCTCTTGGCTTAATGAAACTAACATCATGCTTGGAGAGAGCCTTGGGTGACGTAAGTGTCAGCATGAGGAGTCTATCTTGGCTTTATAAGATGGGAATGAGCTCTTGGATTTAATTGTACATTGAAAAAAGTGATATCACCCTGTTCTGTAGCAGTACACTAATAGCCCACATGCATTTTGAGTTGGACAGAAGTTCTTTCCTGGATCCAGTTGTGCTGATGGAAACATATGTGGGGCTCCTTCACCAGTGCTTGTGGAGTTGCTTGTGCATGTGCTGTTACTAACTAATTTAATTGGGAAAGAAAAATGTTTGATTGATCACTGTACACAGTAGGTCTTTATTAGTTTGATTTACTTACTGAAGTAGGATAGCACAGCTTCCACAGAAGATCTGATGAACCCTTCTGTGAGGGTTCCATGCAGTTGGAAAAACAGTCTACTGTGTAACTGCTTTCCTAGGGAGAAACAGCTACTTAAACGGTTTTTGCTCCTGGGCTGTTTTACAGGCAGGTAAATTAAAATGGCTAGTTGATTAATATCTGTGGGGAGCTCTGGAGAAGGAAATGACAGAGAAAGAGTAGTGGGCTAATTCACAAACCAATTTGCCCAGTTGTGGGGCATGGTAAATTTTTCAGTAAAACAAATCACCCAAGATTGGAAAAAAATGTCAGGTAGAGTACAAAGAATAGAAGGTGTGATAGCAGTTGAAACTTGAGATGCTAATATTGTGCAACAAGGATAAGATGCCATTTAAATAACAGTCTGAATCAGAAGATGAACCACAAATCTTCTCCCTTTCAGAGTGACAGACCCTATATATTTGTATTGTAAAAACAAAATACACTGTAGAGCTCTTGGTAGAGCTTATTCCCTTAATTAGGTGTTCTTGTTGTGCCTAATTGTTTTTTGTGGGATTTTTTTTGAAGAGAAAAGCAGTATTAATACAAACTCTGTGAAAAGCCTCACTATGGTCACATTAAGGAAAGTATCCACTCTTTCCTGATACGTTGTCTGAATTTTAATTTGTTGTGAAATTACAGAATTTAAAGTATTTTTAAGGATTTGGTGGGTTTTGTTTGATTAGTTTTTTTACAATAATGAAAATGCTTATTGGGTAAAACAGTCAAGGCATATATTTGAAATACAAAGAAGTATTCTAAATTATTTATTATCTGTTCTGCTCTTTTTTTCTTAATAGGTGTACTTACTTAAGGGTAACGATTGTCCTTTCCTTCTAAGAGACTTGCTTGCGTCTGAGCAGCTTGCAGATGTCTTTGGACAAGCTGTAGTAAGTACATAGTTTTGAAATAAGGAATAACTACTGGGCTGGTATTCTTCCTACTGAATGTACCTCGTGTTAATTTGCATTAAATTACACTGAATTTATACTACAAGAACTAAGAGCTAAACTTGATCTCATTTTTTTGCCTGTCATAACTGTTTGGAATGTCTAATAACTAGTTTGATTATATTCTATATTATATTCTATATCCTGTACAAGTAAGCTGAGAGATTCTCCTTCAGAGAATACTGGGAATTGCAAATTATGAGTTTCTGTTACTGTGACAAGTGGTGGCCAGTCATCTTGAGAGTAGACATTGTAGTTTCTCAATAACTTCTGAACTTTTTTGCCAGGGAAAGGTAATAAAAGTAAGAAGGGTAAGAAAGGCAAAAAATAATAGATTTCTTCATGCAGTAATCGCTTTGTTTATTAATAGATGAATGTACTAAGGGTATTCATTGGATCTCCACATGGTCTGAACCTTCGTAATGTTTTGTGGCATGGGTTTGTGTCACCACAAGAAATTCCTACCAAGTAAGTTACCAAAGGAAAAGAACACTCCTTTTCTTACCAGTCCAACTTGTGAGTTCTTGGAGGGTGGTTAGTAACCATTTACTTCTCTTATGGGAAAAAAAAATTCCTTGCTGCTTCTTCTGCTTCTTTTGGAAATGGATTTTCACAGAATATTCAGCCATTACAAAGATGGCCAGTATTAGGTCCAGCAGGTTTTGTACTATCAGGGAAAACACGAAAATTTAACTTTTTTTTTTTTTTAAGTCAGGACAGTGAGGAGTAACTTGGAACAAAAGAGAGAGGAATAGGGTAGAAGGAGGAGCAACAGCAGCCAATGTACAATACAGTGATGCTTTTTTATCTAATTCTACGCTTTTATTTTTTTTCATGCTTGTGAACGCAATTCATTATTCAGTGCTCCTACTGAGATGGGGAGTGTATCTTCTGGGTGTTCTTTAAAAAAGTAAAAGAACCCCTTTGTTCCTAACTCACAAATTTTTGTTCTTTGCCAAAAAGAATTCTTTTTAAATAAGCTTTTCTAATATATTGTGGTATTCTCCCTAGATACTGTGCTATGCTGCTCTTTTTAACTGCAGGATTGGGTCAATTGTTACAGACCTATCTTCTGCAAACTAAAGGTGTTTTAGTACATCGATCTTATGTGATCTTCACTGCCTTAGAGGAGTTTGATGCATTTCCAGGCAAGTATTTAACCACTAGCAAATTTTTTTTTATCCTGTATTTGCTATTGTTTCCTTGTCCAAAAGTGCTGTTGAAAATAATGCATTTCCCAGAGTTCAAAGATTAAATCTTAACCAGGATGCCTGTATACACTGTCATTAGGTGAAGCAATCATGCTTGTGGGGCAGCTTCTTAATATGTAGACTCTGACTATTGAGTAAAGAACTACTGCATTCTAAAATAATTGTAACACATTGAAACATGAAATATGGATGCTTCTAGAAGACTTCAACTGTATGTTACATTTTTTGATTATGAGAATTAATTTCATGTAACAGTCAATCTAGTTTGCCTTTATGAAATCTAACTTCTGTCAGAATCAATGGATTACAGCTGCAAGGGTCCCAGCAGGAGTGCCCTCAGTCTTACAGGGAAGGTAGTGTTGAAACAGAGTAAAAGATGGTGACACATCTTTATTACAGTAATGCTCTTTTCAGGGAAGGATTTGAAGTGTCAGATTAAAATCTTCTCCCTGTCCACAGACCTTGTTTGGATTATTCCCACTATTTTAAGGTAGTAATAGCATATAGGGAATCTTGGTGTCAGTGGTGATCATGGTCAATTTGTTGTGCATAATCAGTGGAATGTCTGTCCAAGAAATTGAGACAGGGCTTTTGGGAACCAAATTAAGTTGATAACATTCCAATATCAATGTGGTAGAAATCCTATAGCTGTTGATTTGCTTTGAAAAAACACCTACTGCAATCAAGTTACACTTATCATTTAAAGTTTTCTCTTGTATAAGACATTTATAATGTGAATTTATAAGTGTGGCTTTCATTACATGGTAGCATTGAAGTATGAAGTGTTAGTTTATTATGCTGTATTTTCAACAAAGAAAATTGATAAAATAGGAACAACATGCTCATGTTCAAGTGTTCATTCTACTGTACTGATTTTGGCTGAAGAGAAATGATTCATTAATGTTATACTTTTTTAAAGTTATCTGAAGTATATGAAGAACAACTCAACAGAAGCTGGGTCCAGTTGCTATGTACTCTTTCAATAAAAGGCAAACATGACTTCTTTAACTGGTTTTATTCTCTAATTTTATATTATCACCACAAATGCAATCTTACGTATTTAAATTCTGATCTTAAATATGGCTACTGTTGTGCTTGCATAGTTGAAATAAATTGGATGACTTTTAAATCTCCCTTTAAAAATATTTAAATAATATAATATTTTTAATGAAATAGTTAAAATTCATTTGTAAAATGTAGATTATATGTAATTTTTCAATGTTAGTTTTTTTAACTTGCAGATCTTAATAATGAAATCCTTTCCATAGCTGAAGAACTAGTAAAACTGTCCCATTTTGTATTAAAAATTATGGTACCATTTTGGATTGCTGCTTTAACAGCTTTCAAGCAAAGCAGGTAAGATTTTCTAATTTTTTTAATAGAATCTAAAACTACATATTTTTTTTTTTATTATTTTTATAACTGCATTTCCAGATTCCAAGCCTTTGTACTCAATTACTTTACAGCATATAATTATGCTTTGTTATGGTGATCTCTTGGAAAGTTTGAGTTATGGCTTTGTTTTGTGCCAACTAAGATTATAAACTGTATTTTGAAGCCCAAAAAGAGCTGTTGGAGATGTAGCAAAAAAGGAGAGGTTTACAAAGCAAGTGGAAATAAATCATCATATGTTAAATGACACATATTTTGGATTTTTTAAAAAAGTGTATTGTTTTGTTTTCCTCTCACATGCTCCATCCTTTTGTGAGATATTATCATCTCTGAGCTTGAATTCAGTGGTGGTCAGTTTCTGTTTGACACAGGTATTTGTTTTATTTATTGTATTTGTATTTGACACAGGTATTTGTATTCATTTATTGTTTGTTTACAAAGTGCATTACAAAGTAATTTTGTCAGGGTTGTTTGGTCCGAGACTGTAGATCTAAAATGGTTTATATTTATAAGGAATAAAAACACCCTTTGGATATCTCTGTTACTTTTTCAGGTATGCTGACAGTGTGATTCTCTTACTTCCTCAGCTGGAAGCTGGGCTTAGATTGCTCTTCACTACAACTAATAAATGTCCAAATAGGTTGCTAACAGCAGAGGTAAACTTTTGTCTAAAGTCAATTATGGTTTAGTGCTTACAATATTTGCAAAAGAGTTATTCTAGAAGTGTAGTATCTGTAACAATTTACAGATTTACCCCACAGAATTTGTCAATTTTGGAACATTATTTACAAATCACCAGTTGAGATTCATTAATGCCTTTAATATTTTTTTAAATATCTGCCTCTAAAAAGTACCGAAAATGTAGTAGAAGATTAAAGTTCAGAAACAGTAGTTTAGGGTGAAAAGTGGGACATGGTATATTTGTTTTAAAAAACTCAACACAAAATCCCAAAGTGCCTTTTTTTCATTCATAAGGGGACTTTTTTGCTATTCATGCACCTCTGGTATCCCATGCAAATGAATAAACTTAAGTTTTATATACATGACTGGTTAATTGATTTTGTTTGTAAACCAAATAATATTGTTTGTTTTTTGTTCTAGTCTTCTGCTCTCTACACCACTTTCGATGAGGTACTGTGATTTTTTTAAAATATATATCAGTGTCAAAATTTAAACCATGCATATTTCCTATTACTAAGAATTCACTTTCTTTTGTTGAATATGGTATTATTTCTAATTTTTTTTTCCAAATAAAAGATGGCAGGCAGTAAACACTTTAAATTTGGAATGCTCCAGCAAATATCAAAATTAATACAAATTGTAATGCAGAGACAATTTTTCTAAATGTTTTTATCTTGAAATTCATCACTCCTCAGAAACAAACATTCTGCTATATTTCCTAGATTCAGTTATTCAAAATAAATACAAATAAATATTGCCAGCATAAATCCTCAATTTTACAAGTTGATTGGATTATTTCAAGTTGTTTGTCAGTAATAATTAGGCATCTTGATTCTAGAACGGCAGAAGTAATATCAGATTAGGAAAACTACTTTAGTTGGTGTTTCTTCTTTGATTGTATGTCTTCAATAATTTAATAAGTTTCTATTCAAATTTTTTCTAGATGCTAGCAAAGCATTTGGATAATGAAGAAGTCAACCAGCTACCTGTAGTTCTTGAGGAGCCTGCCATGGAAAGTGTTTTGAAAGTGTTCTAGGGTTTTGTCATCATTGTCTTTTGATTGTTTGTTTCACTTAATAATAATCTTATGATATGCCTAATGCTCCCTTATTTCATATAGCTTATGTCCAGCAGCTTAGAACCTTAGAAGCTTGCTAGCCTTTTTTAGTGTTGAGGATAAAAAGTTATACCTGACAAGCTATATTGCATTAGGCTATGGGACTAGTTTTCTTTCTGAAATATAAGTGTCTCAGAGATATTTGTCTTTAGACTCCTGAAGTTCAGCTGAATGGAGCAGGAGAAGAACTGATGCCTCATGCAGGGAAATTTCAAAACTTATTTCTGATTGCTTGTGAGACAGGCCTTACACTCTCTGGGCAGATAGCACAAAAATGTGGCTCACACCTACCAGAGCACATTCTGCATCTTACTACCCAAAGAGATTGTGAGCAGGAAAACTAGGGGGGCTGAGTTTAGAGGTCTTTTGAGAGTATAGGGGACATCTGAGGTTACTGTCCTGTTGCCAGAGGCAGTGGGGCTGTGAAGGGCCTGGGACACAAAGCTGATTGAAATCTGTTGTTTACTGTCACAGTATAGAATGTATGTTACAAGTTTAGTTTGCACTGGTTTTTTTTGTGAATGTCTGAACATCCATATAATTTAGACATGGTCACATACTTGTCTTTCAGAGATACTCTATACACTGAATATGTTCAATTCTGTATGAATGCACACAGAATAGAATTCTGTATAGTTGGTGTGTGCTTCCACAGGACTTCCTTTGGGATTTCTTGAACCACCAGGAGGGCCCCCGTATAAGAGATCGTTTAAGCCATGGAGAGATCAATCTAGAAACATTTCCCAGAGAAATAGCTAACCAAATATTTGGATTTGCTATTACTATTCTCTGCAGATTCTCAGATAAGGATATATTTTCTCTTAAGGTAGGGACCAATATTTTGTTCTTAGATTTCTTTTTTTGGTTATTTTGGATATCAAATATGATTTTAGATAGAGTTTTATGACTGTTTCTTGACAACTGCTTTTTGCATAAATGAAATATTCCTCTAAGTAAAAAATTGTGAAAGTATCGTTTTGCCTAGTTGTGTAGTGAAATAAGTATAGAAAGTTTTCAAAAATGTTACCCTTTCTTGCTGTACCTTAATTTGTTGGCTTAACCAGTCCTTATTCAAAAGGTCGATCCGTAAATTATAATGATTCCACTTAATTTTGTCAAATTGTATTGATGAACTAGCCTGTTTATCTGCAGAATTATCTGAAAGGTATGTAGAACATCTGTGGCTCACCCACTGAGGTATATAGTGTGTAGTTACTGAGATTTTATTTTCCTGAGACACTGTAAGTAATAGTGCCTTGCTAATGGAAGTGTTATTTGTATCTATACTTACACTATGAATTTGTAAACACTTTTTGCCTAGCACTATGTTTCTCAAAATCAGAAATTATTTTGTTTGCTTTCCCCAGTTTCCTGTTTCTATTTGAGATTCCTTCTTTCAATATCATGCAGCAACCTATGAGATAAACCTTCCATTTATTAGTTGCAGCTTTTTTTTAGTTTCTCAAGATGTATTGTGTGCTGCTGCTTTATTAGAATACTTGGTTGCTTTTCTGTTAGCTGCTGTCAGGCTTCGTAGTTAAAATATGTGAAATTAAGCTTTAACCACTCAGTGTGCTGATTACTTCTTTCAGCCCTTGGACATTTTGAAGTGTTTAACATCAGTGATACCAGTGCTATAGGTGGCATGCATAAAATGAAGTCTAAGTCTGTATATGATTAGGACAGCTTAGAGAAACTGTTGTGTATTGTCTGTGATCTTGTAAATCAGGAACACATGGTCATAAAACCACTGATGAACTGTGCAAGTTGCTACCAGTCTCGATTTCATCCAATTTCCCGACTCAAGAAACAGGTAGGTACTTCCATCTGTGACACCACTGTGTTCTTTAAAATTGTGAATCCTCAAAATGATCTAATTAGTTTCTTTATGCTTTGATTGTCCTAAAAAAGTTCAAATCTTACTTTCTTTTTTTCTGGTTTATTTTTCAAAATATAAAGGAAATCACAGTTGCTAAAATGAGATATAATTATGCACACTCCTGTTAATGCAATTAATACCATATTTGTGTTCTAGATCAGTAAATAGCTTTATTCTTACCTGAGTGTTTGCTTTTCTGTAGTTTTCTTAGTCTCTATATGCTTTTTTATGTCAGGAACACTGTTAGGTCCTGTCTCCAGTATTAGGCTATTACTAAGTTTTTTTACAGCATTTTTTTTTCAGAAGGCCAGCTGATTAATCTGCTTTCCAATGTCATAGTAGTTCTCTGCCAATCAGTTTAATGAACTGCTTCAGGATGCTTCTCTATTGATTTGAGATTGAAGTAGACATACCTAGTTCTTTTACTTTTCAACAGCATGCAAACTATTACAAAAGACATGTTAGTTAATTTTTTATATTTTAAAAAAACATAGAATACTAAATTAGTTTGTTCAGATAATGTTTTAGCATGGAAGTGTACATCCAGATGTTTTGCCCTAACCTAAACCTTAACAAATGAAGTTGGCTTACACAGTTATGACTAGTGAACAAATAACTTACTGCCTGTTGCAGTTTTTTTCTAAATGGGCCACTAAGAAAAGTGTGTCAAAGTCTGTACTCTACAAAACATTTTTCATTATATGTTTTTGAGGTGCTGGAATATATGAAGAGCATCTGTTTATGGCCTGAATTGGAAACAGTGCCTGAGGAACAAGGACAAAATATTAAAGGGTATGTATGTGCTGTAGAAGATCACCAGATATAAAAAAAGCAAATAATTTCTTATTCTGAAAAGGACTTGGTAACCAGTGGGAAACTTTATATAAGATATTAGTTAGAAAAAGAGTGTAGCATTCTATCATCATTTGAAAAGAAGGAAGTCATTAATATCATCACTGGAGGATATATTGAACTTGTTTAGAGCTGAGAGAAGAAAATTTAATGCATCTATCATATAATAAGTATACTGTGGGCTTTTTATGAATGGAGGATTAAGAGGGGTTCTGAATATTGCTAACAATGAGAAAAGGTTGCTTTAGTTGGAGAAAGAAAATCATGCTTGTAAGGTAGAGGGAAAAGAAATTACATGAGAGCATAATAGTGAATGCTGAATACACTACTATCCAAAAAAATCTGCATCTTGATCTATGCCATTTAAGAAATAATGAGTACTAAACCATTTTATAGTGTCAAATATTATTTTTTTCTCTCTTGTTTTTAAGGTTGGAAGGAAATGCTGAAGCTGATACTTTAATTTTGATGATATCTGAAATTATATCTCAGTTGCAGCATTATATGCCCCAGAATTGCTGTAGTTCAGATGATCCTATCAATGGTGTCCTAACAGAGAGGTGAGTTTGATGCCCTCCTGGTTCCTGCTGTCAGCTTCTACTTGCAGCCCAATGTAAGAATTCTCAAACCTAAATTATCCTGTCCCTGTTTGCAGGGAAATGCTTGAAATGTTGTATGCACTTATCTAGTGTTGCTGCTGATTTAATCTGAAAATTTTAGGATTGCAGCTGAACATCATCTTCAAAATAAGGATGAGACGTACATTTTGGAATTACAGTAGAGATATTACTTGGAAATTAGACTAAAAAAAACCCTTTTTTTCAGACCACAAAAGCAAAAGACTTTAAATATTTGTGTACTTACTAGATTAGGTTGGTTTTAGCCTGGTTTGTGCTAAAACTGCATCAGAAAATCCTTTTAGTGTGCTTGGTGTCACATCTATGTGTGGTGTTCAAAATGGCAATATGCTGCTATGTAATTCTATTTTTCCTGCTTTAATATCAAGATTCAGAAAGAGAAAATGTCTTGTTATACTTGGTGTCAGACTTGGAGGTATGTTAATTCCAATTATGTCTGATTTGGAATAATAATCAAAATAATTTGAGTTTTAATTGCCACTCTTAGAGCAGCTTTAAGAGTCCCATGACTGAATGAATATGTTGGAACAAAACACTCCTAATCAAACCCATTAGGCATGGGTGGCAGAGAGCAAAGAGGATTCTACGTGTTGCTTTACTTATATAACGTGTGGGTCTTCTGCTTCCTTCCCATCAATCTGCAGATTTATTATTTGGGGGAAAGAAGCCTAATTATTGATGTGTGTGTTAGACCTTTTCTTAGAGTTTTCTGCCTTTATCACTCCAAGTCATTAATGTTTTGCTATCTCAGGGATAAACTGAGCATGAGGGAGATTAAGAAACACTTTTATAAGAACGGAGTGTTTAAAGTGATGTGTGACACATTAGTGTAGCAGATATGACAGCAGGAAGATATTTGTGAACTTTAACAAAGCATGATCTGGTGTGGTGTTGATTTAAAAAATGGCCTCACCACCTGCATTTTACGCAATGTTAAGTCTGCTTCTTGTTCTGCCCAAAAGAAAGACCACACACTAATGGGAGTACTAATTAATAGCATTTGTTTCAGTGAGTTTTATTACAGTTGAGGTTAATTCATTGTGAGTTGAGCTATGATGGGAGGCTTCAACCACAGCCCTGCTGTGATTTGATGTGTTCAGTGTATCATTTCAGCCAGGCAGTTTTGTTTATTGTGGTTGTGATTCTTTGATCTGAAATGAGAAACATATTCATCATAACCAGTTTTGCATTTATATTCAATAAAGTGATATAAAACACAATCACTACTCCTACTACACAGATCCTTGCTTTTTTTCAGTCATGAGGTAAGGGCAGTTTGTTTCCAGGTTTTCTGAATTAAAACATGATGAGTCGAACCGTACTTAATATGAAATGTATCCGATGTTAAATCCAGCTAACAAAAGATTGACGTTAAAAAATCCTTTCCTGTTTTGGAGGCTGCTGGTCGAACTTTGTGATACACGCATTTGCACGCTGTATTCTCCACGACCTGTCCTGGAAGTAGTGGTGGTACTCCGCAAAATAAGCACGCAGTGCCATCAAGTGTCCCAACAGGTTATTGCCGGCGCTGGGCTGAGATACACGCAGTGGCTTAACAAGACTCTGCGTTCTCGCCAGAGGCACAACTATCGGCGAATGCTGAACAGGTGGGTTGCTGGTTTTGCTGTACTCTGTGGTTAGATTTGTGAGAGAATGGCTGCACGCTGCTCTTGCTGCCTTTCCCTGGGTTCACTTGGAAGTTTAAAGTCAACAGTGTTCACGTGCTCTTGTTAACCGTTTCAGAGTCAAGTGTCAACCAGAATTTCTATTAAGTAGCAATATTGAAATAACAAGAAAATCTCAAACTGGCGAATAATTTAAGGGACATTGCTAGATTATGCCACTGTAAATTGCAAGCTTTCAAATTAAGTATTGCTTCAATGTTAAATTGTATTTTTTTTCTAATTTCTGGCTTTTCCTATTTAGGTGTATAAATGCCATTCAAGTTTTATCTGACTGCAATAGGTTTAATGGATTTGAAGATTTTATCTACTTTATTTTACTGGTTTTTATCACTACACCTGAATCAGGCTCTTTATAGATAGAAGAGATTTTAATATTCCATTATTTTTTTAGTAATCATAGGGGCTTTCCAGAGTTATAAGTATTGTGTTACTGGCAAGGTAATGTTCCTAAAAATGTTAACCATATTATTTAAGAAATATAGCTTAAACTGACACCTGATGATACACATTTGTGATTCAGTTGAACTGTAGTTTATTATCTATGGATTAATGGGTGCTCACGAGTTTTTCTTTGCAATCTTAGATGTTTGCCTTCTCTTCCCCCTTCATTTTCAGTTTATAGTCTTTTTATTTTTCTTGGATTTGCACTGCCTTTTGCTGAGGGACATTTCATAGTCTTTTTTCCTCCCTGACTCTGCAATATCCAGAAATTTATATTGGGTGCAGAAGTCTTAATATTTTTTTAAATAATAATGATTTCTTCTTGATTTGGTTTTAGTTTGTTTTTTAAATATTTTTATTTTATTTCTAGCATTAAATTTTTGTCACCAGTGTTGCGGCTCATCTTACTATTGATTACACTGGAACTAATCGGCATTCATTCAGTTTGTAAGAAGAATCCTTTTGATTATCAGCAGTATCTAAAGTGAGTACATAAATTTACTTTATGAAAATGGGAATTGCCCTACAATTCCATTTTGATCTGTACTGTAGAAATTTTCATCATTATAGTCATAATTTCCCCTTGGACAACGTTCACTCAGGAGCTAAAATAACTTTCTTGAAGTGTAGATAGGGAATATTAATACGTAACAGTTGCATTCAGTATGTTGCTGACTTTACTCTTTGTGTGTTAATTAACAGCTGGTTGGATATCATATACATTGTGAAACATTTGATCAAGAAAGCAAAGGAAGCCATTTGGGGAAAACTCTTTCACGCATTTGGTCACTGTGTTCGTTTTATGGTGGTGTTAATTGCAGTTCTGAAGATCTTCCCATCTTAGTGTGAGAGGGAAGGAGTGGTTCTCCAAAAGTAGAACAAACTTAATGTACTGATCATCCAATCCTCTTGAGGGAGATTTGGAAACTTGAAGATGTTTGCAGCTTTAAGTCAGGCATTGCAATTTTCTTCTTTTATTTTTTTTTATTTATTTTTTTCTTTTTAAATCCTTAAAGGAGTTTTTTCTCTAATGTTATTTCTCATAGGTTTTTGAAGTCAGTCTTGCAGTATACTGAGAACTTGGTGACATACACAAGCCCTGACAAAAACAAGTGGGATGAAACCGTGGAACTTACAAGGAAGACTTTGATAAAAATAAGGAAAATCAGTGACAGAAAGCTAATGTTGATGCATCTAGCTACATGAATGAAACGGGCTTACGATTGTCTGGGCATTGTTATATCTAAACAGTTACAGAGACTTCATATTTGATAATCTAATTCAAAGACAAATTTCATAAGTTATTTTCAAATTTTGGATGCAAAATTTACTCTTTTTATCAGAAGGTATTTGCTGATACTGGAGATGAATTATCAAGGCTCCAGAGAATGGATTGTTTGTCAAATCCACTGAAAAAGATTTACTGTGAACTAAATCAGGATGATACAAGTTCTACTGTAAATATATCTTGTGTTTTGTACATTGATTTTTAAATTTTTTTGTATTTTTTTGTTTCTTACTGTACTGAAAAATACCTAAGAAAAAAGTGTGAATAAAAGCTCTGGAAATTTTTAAATCAGAAAAGTAATTTTTTATTTTGGAATACATCAGCTATTATGTCAGAGACTGTGATCAAGAGGCTAAGAAATTAGGAACTTTTATCATAAAATAATGCTCATTGGCATCTGTGGTTGTTATTAGTTGTAAACAGTCAGATCTTGCTCTGAACTCTGAGGCAGAGCAGGTAACACAGTAGCAGTTGTTGATAGATGAGGATTTAAAGGAACAGGATGGATACAGAAGGATACTTTTGCAGGGTGTTTGTTTTGTTAAATTTCATCTTCTCATTCCAAAACATATTTAGTTAGTTAATTTCATACAGAATGAATGTGAACACACGTGCCTATGCTCACAGACATGTATTCGCTGTGGTTTAGAAAGTTACCCTCTTATTGCTCACAATATTCATTTGAATATTTTAGTTTTTCAAAATAAATTCTCCCCCTTTTTCATCACCAAAGAGTAGAACTTCAAAGGAATGCATAGGCTGAAGAACAGATTCACAGAAGACCACCAGTATCTCTCCATTTGCTTTCTCCTATGGAGAGTAAAATCAGAGGGTAATGTCTGGAGAAAGTTTGGCTCTACAAAGGATTCAAGTTACATTTTAATAAGCTTCTTTGCAGTGTTTCTTGACTGGAAATCACAGCTTGAGAATTACTTGTTTGTTTTGTTCGTTGTAGGGGATGGATATAAACTAAGATCATCTTGCTTCCTTTGTGCTACTCTTGAAATATATTGTGTGTGTTTGAAATTTAGCTTTGTCACTTCCCAAAAATTCTTTTGTTGCCATGAAAATAAACTATGTGAAGAAGTTTGAATTAGATAAAATAGGTTAAATCTAGAAATGGAGAATAATTAGTCTAATGTAGTGTATAAGCCTAAAAGTTCAGCTTTTTTAAAAGCCTGAGTCAGCAGATCCTAATTGTATTTTTGGAGGCTTATTTTGTACCCACTGACTTTGCTTGGATATATTAACTTCTGCTAAGTGTGTCTTGGTAGTCACACTTACGGTGACACATGCTTTGATGTTGATAAGTATTCTAAGACAAAAATAATTTAAGTTTTATATAGTCATTGTAGGAACAAGATCAAGAAATTACCACACAGTCATGTTTTGAAAGTACATAAATGTCTGGCACACTTTCTCCTTTTGAAAGTGCATTAATGTACTAAAAGGCACCTAATAGACTGCAGAAGTATATTTTCAACAACATAAGTTCTCCTTTTGTTGCTATATTTAAACTTTGGTTAAATGATCTTGCATTCAGTTTACTGCATTTGCTTTACCTAACATTGACAGTTTCTTCTTTCCTAATTAGTGCCACAGATTTGATTTGCTGCTCTAAGTTTGTGACAACAAGCATGAAAGATTTCTGGCAATTCTGTCAAAAATGCTTTATCAGTTTGTTTTCCTACCTCTGAAGCTCTCTGATGGAAACACTGCTACCATCTATTGTTAAACAAATCTGCAACAGGCTGGGACAATCCAGTTAGTTATTCTGACTCGATGCTGTCATTTACCAGAAGGGCTTATGCATGCAGGGCTTATGGCTTATGACAGCCCTGCATGTCATTTGCATGCAGGGCTTACAGATTTTTCCTGCTGTTAAAAGACTTGTAGAATAAGTGTATATCCTACAATGCACATTGAAGAACAAATGGCAAGAGATGTTGTGGAGGTCATTTGGTTTGTCCTTTATCAGTTACTCATTTTTCCACTTCAGTTACTCATCTTTGCCATCTCTTTAGAATCACTTTTAGAATGTAAGAGTCTAAACTCTGAACAATCAGCATTCCTGAGAGCAAAAGAAGCTTGGAATTACTATGTATCTAGATATATCTAGAATTGTACCAAAAAATGTTTTCTTCCAAGTGTGGTATTTCATCCAAGTATTAGTTGGATCTGATTTAATTGTTGGCCTTGCTCCCCAGGGTCTGTGTTTTCCTTGAGGCATTCACACAGTAAATCTAAATACCTATAAATCTATATAAAGATTTGGAAGCTGCAGCACCCCATGAGGAAAAGTGTTGAATTATTTTGTTTACCTAGATAATGCTAATGAGGGAGTGATGATTCATAAGTTAGTCCAAGTTCAATTCATCAATTTATCAGAATATACCAAGTTGGAAGGGACCCATAATGATAGCTGAGTCCAAGGTTAACTCCAGGCCTTGCACAGAACCATCCCCACGAGTCACACCATGTACCTGAGAACACTGTCCAAAAGCTTCTTGAACTCTGTCAGGCTGGTTCTGTGACCACTTCCCTGGGGAGCCCATTCCGATACCCAAAAACCTGGATGGAGAACATTTTTCTAATATCCAGCCTAAACCTCTCCTGGCATAGCTTCAAGCCATTTCAGTGTTTGTGATTTTTGGTACCTTCTAGGGAGCAACAGGATCGACTACAAGTTCTCTGAGGTGGGCATTGCACAATGAAATATCTTTTATGGTTAGGCATCTGTGTGTGAAAACAAAGCTTGTTCTTTATGTTCTTTGTCATTCTCCAGGGTGTGCTCTCCTCAATGGTGATAGGAAGGGTTAGAAACAGAACCATGTGTTCTTATTCAAACATAACACCAGCAACTAAAAGTAATTTAAACCTTAGGGTTGTCATCACTACTGCATTATACAGAAACATTTACGTAAGAGATAGAGCCACAAATGTAATTTACTTCATCTTTTAATACATCCCATCTAGCGGTTTTCAAGCAGCCTGATGGCTTTTGAAGTGAACACATGGTGGCAGTGTTTGGTAATTCAAAATAGCACTCCATGCTGACATTCACTTTCTTATCTCTTTTCTTAGGCTGTGTATAAAAAAATAAACTTTTCTTCTGATTTCATCAGTTTTGTTTATATGTTTCTTTAATGTGTCTTCTGTAGAAACTTGTTTTCTCATTTGTTTCAGATCACTTTTGGAGAAATTGAATGCATCTGAAAAAAAAATTTTTTGGCAAACATTTTAATAGTTAAATAGTGGTTCATCACATTTTCCACACTACTTGCTGAGGAGTTTTGGAATTTGTCAGAAGTCCATCAGCTTCCCCTCTCCTTATGTAATGTAAAAGAATGAGTTATTCAAATTTAATAAATAATTTAACAAAATATTGGTTTTTACATAAGTATTAATATTCCTAAAATAAAAAGTATGAGAGCACCAAAAAAGTTTTTTTTTTTCTCAAAAGCAATGTATATCTTTCAAACAAAAATCATAATTGTCAAGAAATATGTTTATAGGGAAAATTTCACTAAGGTCTCAGCCTTATTGCTGTGGTAATGATTTTTCAGTCTGTTGTAACTGAAATGTGCTACTCATATGCTGCCCTGTGAAGAAGAGCTACTTGAGCAATGCTTGTTGGGTGGCCTTAGAAAACCTTGTCCATGGTAGCAATTTCAAACCATACAGAGAGGTTGCAGTTAGAAAAGATTTTCATTCACATGATGTGATTTTTGTACACTGTGAAATCTTGAAATGTTGGAACATCCCCAGCAGAGCTTTTTTTTGCCTACACTTCATAAGTGCATCTGGTCCATGTGTGGTGTATCACCTTTTTTTTCATAAACTGGTCGGCAGATGCAGAGCAGATTCCTGGCTGGTGTAAACAGTTCCTGTTCTATCTTCTTTGGGGCAGATCCTTTACTCTGGTAAGGATCCTCCCCACGCTGTTTCAGTTTCCCTTGAAGGGGGTTGGTTTCTAGCTGTACATCTTTTTTCAACCTGTGTATTTTCAGGGGACTGGAAGAAAGAGCCACACAGTTCAGATAAATTTGCCATATAACAGAATTTTGTGAATTTAGTGGTTTTCATTGCAGGGAAGTGAGGATCATGTGTGGGACTTCACAGCTACAAAGCAAATAACTACATTCTTTAATATCTTTGTGTTTCTGGAAGAACTTTGCCTAGAGTAGAAATGAGTTTTCTTTTTGAGGTTTTTTCAGGGCAGCACTGTAAGTTAGAACAACTGATATTTGCTTTTTAAAAAAATTCAAGGATCAATGAGGATCTCTTATTTAAGAAGTCTTTTAAGCCATATAGATTTTCAGACAGAAATTGAAAGGAAAATGCCTGTTGTTTGTCTTCCCTGGGCCTCAGGCAATAGGATATAAATATGGGTAGTGAATACTATGTGAGATCAAACTGGCGTTTTTTCTGAAGGTGAGAATCCAAGACAATACATACAATTAAAGCCAACAGCCTTGCCTACCAAAAGGAGTCCATGCCTTCTGGCATTCTCCACTGAATACCTCCTCTGTTCCTCTCCCATGTATATGCATCTCACAGTTTCTCAAAAAAAAAAAAAGCATAGTAGAACCAGCCAGTGCCAGTTTGTTTCCAATGTTTTCTTTTCTTTGTAAGGGATTAGTTGTAGTAACAGATTTCATGTGCCAGAAAGTGGGTGAACATTAACTATTTTGTCATGCACTGATCCTTCCCACAGCCCTGCAAAATTTGAAATGCGGGAATGGTTATTCATTAACATTTCTTTGTGTCTACAGGAAGTACATTTACTATGTAAACATGTTTTATATAGAACATACAGCTGTTTTGAACGAGCACTCAATGAAACATAAGAGTACAGTGCCTACACTGCCACTTCAGAAACTCTGAGATACCACAGCATTGTGTTTTGGAAGAGTGAACACACAAACATTTGGTGGAAGTTTCTTTAAAAAGCCAAAAATCTTTGATTTGCTTGATTGTTTTTGTAGCTAAACTGTATCTGCGCACTGAACTATTAATGTGCAATTTTTAGAAGTGGGGAGAAGGGGGGGAATGTGTTTTTTTGTGCTGATTTTTGTGGAGATCTCATTAAAGAAAGAATAATCAAGCACCATCAGATAGTCCATTTTTCATAGACTGTGGAGAATATTGCCACCAGAAAAAAAATAAACTTATAGCATCCAGAAAATGTGCCTAGAATACCTAGAAGAATCACAGGCTGTTTTTTCTGAGAATGTCAATTGTAAATCTGTGAGGAACTTGACTAGTAAAGATACGACCTTGGGTAATAGGTGGAATTGTCCCAGATACACCTCTCTGCAAGCAGCTCCACTGGCTGAACTTGGCTTTAAGAGCATTTTATGGAATTGGGATGTTTTCTGAAATGGTGAGGAATGCTTCTGTTTCCCAGGCAGTTAGAGTGTTTTGGCTGTGCTGCTGCCTCTAGGTGGCTGAAGCTGTTTTGCCTGTTCAGATCTGCAGGATGGTGCATGAACCAAGGTACTTCCCAAGCTGTATATTGTAATCATGGGCTGTACACATCGGCCCTCCCACATCAAGGCCACCATTCCTGAAGGACTCTAAGGTCGAGAAGCACAGGTGTGCTGAAGAGAGGGGTTGTGAACAGCAGGCCAAGCACTTGGACAGCTCTCTCCTGCAGAGGACAGATGTTGAGGCACCAAGTTAGCCAATATTTGGACCATGGGTTGCTATACTGTGGGTTTGTTTGGCTTTTAGGTGTGAGAATCACTGAGGCTGGAAAGGACCTCTATGATCATTGAGTTCAACATTACCTTGTTCAACACTAAACCATATCTTCAAGTGCCACATCCGCATATTTTATTTGAACAATTCCAGGGATGGTGAACCTATCACTTCCCTGGACAGCCTGTTACAATGCCTGACTATTTTGGTGAACAAGTCTTTCCTAATATCCAGCCTAAACCATCCCTGGTGCATCTTCAGGCCAATTTCTTTTTGTCTAATTGCTTGTTACTTGGGAGAGAAGATCAAGTCCCATCTGGTTACAATCTCCTTTCAGGTAGTTGCAGAGAGCAATAACGTTCCTCCTAATCCTTGCTCAGAAGAGCCCAAGATGGAAGAATGGAGTTCTGGTTGTCTAGCCAGTCCTACGTGCACCTTTTATTAAATGTTAGGAAGGGGAGGGTTTCTAGTCGTATTAAGGGGAAATAATACTGCCCTTAAACTGGCAGGATAGTACAGTGATAGGAGATGACAATTCGATGAGCTCATAAATTTTGAACTAATGGCATCTGTGCAAAAGCAGAAGGATAATGCTTCACAGTTGATAAGAAAGAAGTGCAGGGAAAAAAAAAAGACAAAAAACTGCAGTTGACCCTTCAGGATATAATGCACTTGTGTCAACATGGACTATGCCCAAACATTGTCCTGCTGTGGAAGCAGCTGGTTGCCCTGCCCACTGGTTTATATAGCGCCAAAGGGAAGGGGTAGGGAGAGATGATGTGAGGGAAGAGGGAGGAGAAAAAGAGGGAAGAGGGAAGATAAAGCAAACCCAGCTCACGTCTTCAACACCATGCTCTGAACAGAAAATGTTCTCCAGCTCACCCTCCCAGCACTCATTTCTTGATATTTAGGAACCTGCATCAGCAGAGAGTCTGCCTCAAAGTCACAGACACTGTGACAAGCTGCTTCCTTTACAAATGTTTTTCTCTGGGAGGGTATGCATTGATGAGAAAGGAGCAGGGGAGAGAGTAATGGCTATTCCTGTCTGGCCTCTAATATTCAAGGTCTAATTTATAGTATTTCATGTAGCATGATGGTGTCATTTTAATGGTGTATTAACACTGAAGTCTGGAATATTTATTTGGTGTAGAAAATGCATCTGATACTAAATATACCTCTGGGGACATGGCTGTGGGATGATTACAGAACTGATGCCCATCTAATTGATAGCATTTCTCTGTCCTCCTGAGTCTTCTGCTGTAAAAGTGGGGCAGGGTGTTTTCTGGTTAAGAATAATGGTCTCTGTGCTACCCTTGGGGCCAGATGTGTCCCAGCACCTGTGCTCTGGATCCAGGATACAGAGCTTCTACACAATTATCTTTCAGTTTGGTGTTAATTTCTATTCAAATTAATCAGTAGTTACTTGACATGAGGAATTACATTGTGAGCTTTAAAGCTTTATTACACACCATTGTTGTTTCTTTATTTATAGTCTATTATTCATGCTAGAAATACTGAACAATTTAACCTGATTTTTAACGTTGGTTTCTTGGGTTTTTTTGCTTTAGTCTCCCATGTGATTTACATATGTATAATGAAGTAGGGTGGGGGGGATAAGGGATGTTACTGTGGGACTGGATTTTGTTTTTTTTTTTGTTCATTATCTATACTGGGTAATATGAGATAGTGCCTAACAGAGTTTCTTAGCATCCCTTACTTTTACACAGGTGAACGTACTAAAGCAAGACAGACACTGATCTCAGGAAAAAGCAACCACATATGCAAATTCTTGTACTTGATTCATGGAGTTTAATTTAACATGAACTGTGTCAAACCTATGCTGTGGATATTTTGAGAGTTTGTTTTCATTAACATTCAAGCAAGGTGCTGTCCTGTCTGCGGGAACGACAGGCTGTGTGATGGAGGGAGCCCTGCAGCCCAGAATTTGCAGCCTAGTGATCTATAGCCGTGGCTTCTGCAGGCTCAGAGCAGAGAGGGTGTAAGCGTGAGTGCCCCGGCAGTGTACATCGGTGGGTCGGTGACAGTGGGGATTCTCTTGCCAACAGCCTTTCTGGATGGCAGGCATTGCAGCTGTTAGCAATCAAGAGGAAGCTTTTGTTTCCTTTTGACTTTTACAAACTGGCCTAATATAAGTTCTATTTATTCAGGTGTTTTTATACAAATTTTCCAAAGATATCGAGTTTGACCTTTGTGTACGTAGTTTCCCCTCCAATTAGTGAAAACCATTTAGAAATGTCAAGGATGGGACTAGAAGGGACCTCCTAGGTGCTGTCTGCTGTGGTTCAGTCAACCAGATTGCACATGATCTTTTTCAGCTCTGTCAAATACCAGAAATAATCTGTCTCTCCTACTCATCTGTTTGCTGTACTGCTGTACCAGAACCTTGTCCATGTTGCTTAGAAACCCTCTTCTAGTATCCAAGTTTCTTTTCACAGCCCATTCATATTAATTTGTTCTTGTGCCAATATTGTCCCCTAGTTGGGTGGCTCTGCTCTCTATCTAATGTTTGCATATCACTTCAA